ATGGTATTCTATCAGTTTCCCTTTAGACTGATACTTGTTTTTTTTCCCTCCTTCATTTTTTCTTTTGTATTATAAACAATGCTATCTAACCTTGACCACATGTAACTTTTGACATGTGCATATTTATAAACTCACATAAGAGGGACTGCCATCTGGGGGTGACTGCATTTTTAATTTTGACAGATAGTTCAAAATTCCCTTCAATAGAAATTGTGTCATTTTGTAACACCAGCAGGAATGTATGCTGAAATTTCAACTCTTAATATCAAATATAGAAATGGAGCTTCAAGGGACAATGGGTTCTATGAGCTTACTCTGCAGTGCTCAAGGAAGTCTTATTTTTATAGAAGACAGTAAGATACAAGGAATAAAATTGATATGTATGACATCTACTTGCTGGTTTTGAGGTTTTACTCAGACTCCAATTAGGAAAATCTTGTGGAGAATGTATGATGAAGCCCCATTGTAATGCTTTTGCTGGGGCAAATCTCCATGTTGGAATTCAAGTTTTCTGTCTCCTAGATGTGTATCAGCATCATAACAGGGTCCCTCCAGTGACTAATACAGCAACACTGACTTCATTTCTGGGGGCCAATAACTGCCTAGCCTAGGGCAATAGTTTAGGCTTTGGAATTGAACCTGCTTGGATCCTGATCCATGATCACTCTACCTCCAATGGGTGTGACTGGCTAAGTCATTTGGTAGACTCAAGGCTACTCTCTAGACCGTTATTGTGGGGATACTAATCTCCATGACTTTTGGACCATGGTAAGATTATATGGAATGATATTTGAGACAGTGTCTAATACACAATAGCATCCAACCCTAACTTTCCCCTTTTTGCCTTTCTGAAAATAGAGAACTGGGGAGAAAAACCCCAAAGGTTTCTCTAAACAGCCAAGATGTACGCCATAATTTCCATATATTAAATCTGTCTTATTTTACTCATAAAAGAGACTCTAAAAATCTACATATTATTATTTTATATGTAATTCCAATATGTTTTGTAGTTTGGCTTCCCAGCCTATATCTGAGTGGAAGTAACAGGGGCCAAAGTTGTTACCTGACTGAACTCTGAAAAGCAGAGATTTAAAAAAGTTATTTAGAAACAACAAAAGTGTCCAGTAGGCCAGGGGTGACTCTTTAGTACACCCATAGATAGTCAGAGCCTCGTAGCATGAGACCACTTTAAGGTTAAGTCATCAGGAAAGAGTTACCTGGTATGCTGTTAAGAAAGCAGACCTCTGGACAACACATTTTCAAAAAATAACTTCCTGGCACTGCACCCCTTGTTTACTAAAGAATAGTGGTATCTCTGTAATACTGAAGTCTGTATGGAAAAAGTCCAGCCATTGTTAATGTAATAGCATTACATTATTAATATAAGTTTATAATGAGAATGGTTTGCGCAACATCGATGTAACCTGGCAGCCAAGGTGAGAGGACTGGAATGTGCATGTGTGAACAATGACTTCACTGTACCAGTCAGTGGGGGTGGTAGACATTGTTGAGTGAGCATGTGTACTGTGTGGCCATCACATTCAAAGTGACTGAGTAGAGCAATGAATCTGCATCAAATTTTGTGTTAAGCTTGTACATTCTTCCATGGAAACCATTAGGATGATTCAGAAGGTTGCAGCTATGGGCAACTGGTGATTGGCAGCTTTGTCATGACAGTGCACCTGCTCATGCATCACGTCTTGTGAAGAGTTTTTTGGTGAAATATTAAATCACCCAGATGACTCAGTACCACTACAGCCCAGATTTGGCACCCTGCAACTCGTGGCTTTTCCCAAAACTAAAATTGCCTTTGAAAGGGAAGGGATTTCAGACCATCAATGAGATTCAGGAAAACATGATGAAGCCAGCTGACAGCAATTGGGAGAACTGTGTGAGATCTCAAGTGCCTACTTTGAAGGGGACTGAGGTGTCATTGTCCTATGTACAATGTTTCCTATATCTTGTATCTTCTTCAATAGATGTTTCTATTTTTCACAGTACATGGCTGGATACCTTCTGGAGAAACCCATAGATCAATGAATTTTTTAAAGATTTACATCACAAAATATAAAGTACAATTTGGTGGGGACACTTGAAAGGGTAAATTTCAACTATCTGGAAAGTTAATTGGATTAATTCACTTACTTAACCAATATTTATTGAGTGTGCATGATGTGTTCAGCACTGTGCTAAGTGGTGAATGTACTTGGAACCCCAATTCTCTAAACTCTACACACACACACACACACACACACACACACACGTACCATTCAAAACACAGTCTGAGTTTATGTTAAACTTTCAGTGAGTCTCATGAGAGCTTTATAATCACTGTAAGAGATTTTAGTTTTAGAGCCTCCTGGGTTCTACAGTGTATCTACTACTCCCAAATAATGCAGAATGATAAAATTGTTGAACAGCAAATGTAAAGCTGAAATCACTTGACAGTCTGTGAATCCTATAAATCTCCCTGAAACTTCAATTGTGAAAATGCTTTTGGCTCTATCACATTTGTCAGCCTTATACAGTGAGTGTAATTTAATTAGCAAATTTCACTAGTAGATTATATTCTTTTAGGGCACAGAGAAGTAGGAATCATACATATGCCATTGCTGCTTGCTTTTTTTATCTCATTTTATAGCCTCACAGGCTTAAATAGAGTAAATATATTTGAAAACACAAATTAATTGCACCCATTTCCTAGACACATTGAAAACTGCTTTCATTTGTTAGAGATACCAAATATGAATGATAGAATTTAAGTAACTATATGTTGGTGCTATGCAAACATAATAGCAACAACAGCAGTGATGTTAATAATAATAATAATGGCAACTACCATTTATTTAGTGCTTACTCTATTACTGTCTATCAAGTATTATGTTGAGAGTTTTGAATGGATTGCCACCTTTAATTTGCCCAACAACCTTTCACAGAAAGGTATATTATTATTTCCTACATAACATAGGATATTGAAGTTTAAGGAAGTTAACTGTCTTGCTCACATCATCCACATTATTTTAGTGGAACTAGGATCCAAACCTGGGCAATCTCGCCATATACATTTATCCCATCTTTCTCAGGTGTTATTAATTCAAATTCAGCAAAGGAAGAAACAGAATCCCATCTGTATGCAAAAATAACTGTTACCTGCTGGCTGTAAGTTTTACTGCCATAGTAACAAGAGGTTTAAATGATAACATCAAATAAAAGGATACAGCTATGTGACTTGTTTCCAAAAGTAGATTTTGGAGTTATTTCCCTCACCCCTCAAATGAAATGACTTGTAAAAAAATTCTCTATGGATACTTCCCATAAAGTCTTTACAGGTTTTACCTTGGCATAAATACTCATGAAAAATTGTGTTCTTAAATGTGGACTCTTCATTTTTTCCCTCTACCCTCAAAACTTAATTAAATGCCATAGTGTTAAATATCATGTATGTCAAAATAACATTACTGAAAATTTCAGAGGCACCTTTTTTCTACAGAACCTCGGTGCCATCTATACAAATATTACCTAATTTGTCCTCAGCATTCCAAAGAAAGTTATTGGCATTATTTGGTTTTACTGAAGGAGAAAGTAGACAGAATCAGAAAAATGAGTACAAACATCTAAAGAGGTCAAAATGCAGTGTTTGAGATTTTTTTCTATTTTTAACTTCAAAATGTTCCTTTCACCTGATCAGTAACAACTGTGAGCATGTAGCTTGCTCTATATGGCTTCAAACACACTTTCACTGGAAGATCATTGTAATTCAAATCCATTCAGTGCTGCTTCACACTTATAATTTGTTAATTAAGATATAGTAATGTACCCTGCACCTATTTTAATAATATAGCACACTGATAACATTTTCACTCATTTAAAGCCATGTTTACTGACAGAGCCTTAGCACCAAAAAATTCTAAAAGGCGATCTTCACACATTCAAATAGCCTGAAAAGTAATTGATACAGCTCAACCTCTGGCTAGTTCTTAATTTCCAAAGTTAAGATCACAGAATTTTAAAATCGCATACTTAAAAAAAAAAGTTGATAGAAATACATTGCAATGGTGAAGATGATACATTCAAGGTCACAATATGCGAATTCAATCTTTGCCCCAACATTCAAGATGCAATCAGGATGATTTTTAGCTGGATTTTGCTTGGAGTTTTCTTAAGGGTATTGTGGAAACTTTATTGCAAAAGATGGTAAAGTTGTTAGTGACAGGAAAATCAGGGGGTCAACAGAGGTAAGAGGAAGGAGGTATCTAAATAGAAGTGAGAATCAGTAAGTTGTGTGTGGGAATCTAACTGACCCATGTAATTTCTAAAGACCCTGAAGACAAGAATACAAGTATTTTTGGAAGAAAAAAAAAGAAACAGCCAAAGAGGTGAGACAGCCATTTTAAAGGGGGGCTGTCTAACTACACAATGAGGTCATCCTATCTCCCGGAAGTGACACGTAATCACCTGCTTTGCACTAGCTCCGCCCCTTCCCTCAGAGGTCCCGCCCCTCCGCCAGCAGCGGGGAGGGTGTTAGGGGGCGTTTTTCCTGGAGGAAAGCTGTGAGCTGCGACGCTGAGGAAGGGGACCCCAAAACGTCTGGCACTGCCCCCTCCAGGGATCACTTTGGACCGCCTCACTCGGCCCAGCAGGATTCAGAGACGCCGAGGGGTCAACCTGATGGGTTTCGGGGTCAACGGAAGAGGGGAAGGGGAGCCCTGGCGGGGAGAACCCCCCGGCCCCCCGCCCAGCAGCTGAGGCATAGGAGGGCGGCCATCTTGGCCGGGAGGGTAGGGCTGGGGAGCTGCGGGCGCCGTGCGATTGGGGGGCTCGCCCGGAAGTGACGCCAACTACCCGGAAGCGGAGGGGGTTCCCTGGCCCACTCCCCCCTCGTTCGTTTGCTCCCCCGCTTCCTCCCCGCCCCCCTTCCTCTCCATTCGTTTCCCCCCTCCCCGTTCCCTGCCTTCTTCCCCCCCCACCCGTCCCTCCCCCCCCAACCTCCGGAGCTGGGAAGAGAGTCAAGATGGCGGCGAAATCCGATGGCGGTGGCGTGGGGGTGGGCTTCGCCCAGCTGCACAACCTGGACGAGGCGGTGGGCAGCGGCGGCGAGGAGGACGGGGAGCCCGGGGGAGGCGGCTGCGGCGGCGGCGGAGACGGCAGCGAGCCCGGCGAAAGCAGCTCGCTGCACATCTGCCACTGCTGCAACACCTCCTCGTGCTACTGGGGCTGCCGCTCCGCCTGCCTGCGCTCCCTTCTGGGCAAGAAGCCGCGCCGCAGCGCCGCCGCCGCCGACGGGGGGGACCAGCCGCTGCAACCATCCGCGGCCGCCGGCGCCGACCGCCACCCCCCGACGCCCTCGGCCGCGCGGCCGCAGCCTCCGCCGCCGCAGGTGGAGCGGCCGTGGCTCGACTGCCTGTGGATCGTGCTGGCGCTGCTGGTCTTCTTCGGGGACGTGGGCACCGACCTGTGGCTGGCCCTCGACTACTACCGCAAGGGGGACTACGGCTACTTCGGGCTGACCCTCTTCTTCGTGCTGGTGCCGTCGCTGCTGGTGCAGAGCCTGAGCTTCCGCTGGTTCGTGCAAGACTACACCGGCGGCGGGCTGGGTGCCGTTGAGGGGCTCAGCAGCCGAGGCCCCCCCATGATGGGGGCCGGCTACGGCCGCCCGGGTGCTGTGGGCTCGGCCACTCCGGGGGCGCAGCGCCTCTGCCGTCTCTCCGTGTGGATCTGGCAGTCAGTCATCCACCTGCTGCAGATGGGGCAGGTGTGGAGGTAAGAGCACTGCGGGGGTGGGGGCGGGGGCCCGGCCGGTAGCCCTGCGGAGGGCCTGGCGGGTGAGGCCGGGGCCCTAAGAGTCGTGCTCCGCCCTGGAGGTGCCTCGCAGGTGGGACCCTCAGACGGGCCCGGCCCGGGGTCTTGAAGGAGGGGTTTGCCGCGCACTTCCCCTGGCGTCTCAAAAACCATTTTTTAAAAATCTGGAACCGTGGCCACGCCTTTTGGCCCAGGGAGGCCCACGTCCCGCTGTTTGTCCTCATCCTTGGTGCGCACTTCTCAGAGACCCTGCCTCATGTTTCCCCTTCTCTCCATCTCTGTAGACCTCTGTCCTGCCGCTGTCCTGGGTATGCTGGGGTAACCAGCCCCATAGAGCTTTTTATCTGCACTCCAGCTCTTCTCCTGGGGTAGCGGGGGGTGGGGTGGGGGGGTGGAACCTTCCTTCTTCCAGCCGGTTTGCACTCGGTTTTGTCCCCCGGTGAGACATCTTCCCCTCTTCCCCCGTCTTCTCTCCGCAGTGGCCTGTGTGGGGCCCTGTGCAAACCCCCTTGCTGCCTCTTTATTTAGCACTCCTTTATTCCACGCCCCCTTCCTCTTCCCCCCTTCCTGCAATCCCATCCCCTGCAAATGACTCCGAACTGCCTCCCTCCTTGAAGGAAAAATGACTTTTTTTTTTCTGGATTAGACGTGCCCTTTTCTTAGTGACAGGTAAAATTGTGTAGTATGTGGTGCGTGTGTTTGTTTTTAATTCTCACCTTTACAAAATCAGTTAGCCACCTAGACACCTATTCTGATGGAACCCTGGTTTTCGTGGCCAGGCCAGTGTGTAGGTAATTTTCAGTTACACAAGCCCTAAGGGCCCTGCGGCCCCTTCCCCTTTTGTAATTTCCCCTAATGCCAGGTGAATGTCTCACACACCACTTGCAGATGTTCCTTTTTTGCCACCAGCCTTAAATGGTCTATTAAAATCTTGGTAAGTCTGTGCTCCCAGACTTAAATTTGCTTTAAGAGTATTCTGGGAACTGAATTGTAGGTAAGAGCATTTGCAAGAGAAAAAATGTGTTACTGGAGATGAATTGCACAGAGCTCTTCAGGTACATTGCTTCTGCCAGAAGACATTCTGCCTAGATTGCCTTGACTCTACCTAGGAGATTTTAGGTGCTCACTGTTTCAGTAAACTGAGATAAAGTTTGTCTTTTGAATTGTTTGTGCAGAGCTCTGTTCAGAATTTTAAGTAAAAACGTTTCAGAAAACATGGGATTGAGTTACTGAAATCTTGAAAGTGAATGTAAGAACTTTGTGTTACAGAATTTGCATGCAAATTCCGAACAGGAGATTGTGAGTGCTTCTTGGTTTTTCTGGTCCATCCAGGGTTGTTTACTGGTGTTCCTGGGTAAAACCAAGAAAGCTTTTTTCTCGCTGTGTTTGTCTGCAGTTAATTTGTGTTCTGCTTATAAGTTTATAAGAAGAGGGTGAAATTAAATAGAAAAATGGATGGTTGACTAACTTTTAGCTATTTTGAGCATAGCTTGGAGGGTCAAGTAAAATTTTGAAATATGTTTTGAATTTGAAATTTAAACTTAAACCACCCCTAAACACCCAAATCTATACTGAATCAAAGGTAGTGTGTTTGATATTGAGAATACCTTCTTTGGTTTCTTGCAGGTTGATGAAGTGTAAAGGAATAAAGGGGGGAAAGGGGCAAAAACTATGGAGAAGAGAAAGATTTTGACGTACTAGTAAAATTTAATGGCATGCATTTAATAACTAGGCTTCCACTGAACAAGTCCAAGTCACTTACCTTTGTAAGTCCATGTCTTGGACTCCTGCGTGTGGGCAATCAAAAGCTTGGTGTCAGGTTAAAATTCCTGAGAGAATTGTTTCTAATGTAATCCATCCTAGCTATTTATTAGTAGTAAGCTTTTGGTACATAATGGAATTGGAGTTTAGTGTCACAAAATTTTTAGGCAGAATAATTTTCCCTCAGTCAACCTAAATCTTAATTGTACTTGGGCAAAGTAGAAGAGTCCAGATTTTGGGACAAATCGACAGGTACATTTTAAGTGTAAATTTAGCCTTTATAATCATTTAAAAGAGGTTAGGGCATTATTTTTGCAGACCTTCATTGAGCTTTCAAGGTCTACAGTGGTATATGTATAAGATGCCTGTGATTTTAGTATGCCTGAATTGTTTTAGTCTTTTTTTCAAGATTGGAATGTATGTCTAAATATTCCATTGTTTTAAAGTACAGTGTACTAAAGACATACTAATTCAGCAAGGTTATTTATCCCATTATAGCAGTACTTCAAAAGAAATATTTCCTGAGGAAAGATTTTATCTTTTTATTTTAACATTTTCCAGTGAGCTGATTTTGCTTGAAATGCTCTAGAAATAAGGTCTGCTCTTTAATACCTGCTAGGCATGTGGCTTGCATGGAAATCATATGCAAAAGTGTTGGAGAAAGGTTTTTGGTCTTTTCTTGTTTTAAACCCTTGGTAAATTACTTGTTAGTATATATAAACATACATCATTTCCTTTTTGAATGCAGATCTTTTGGAGTTATAGTTATATCCTTATTTGTATTTGTTACTTGAATTTGGCTATTTCATGTGGTCATATGATAGGTTAAGGTCTAGGAATTAAATCATTGATTTGGGCCACATTTCTAAGAAATGATGTTGGTGAAGTTGTACACGGTCAAAACTGATCCCATTAAACCATGAATGCCTGTCTCTTCACATGCTTTTGTTTTTTAAATGTAAGATTATTTGACTCTCTGTTGGACAAAGCACAGTGCTTATTTAAGAAAATTTTGTTTTCTTTTATAGTAAGGTGGTAAGCTTCTATTGATATTGCCTTTCCTTTCCAGATGGAAAATACTGGGCATCTCTTTCACCAAATGACTTTACAGAATGTAAGAAAGTATTTTCTGGCTGGGCCAAAATTGGAGCATGGAAGAGTAGTCTGTGGGATGATTTGGTTTCATGGACCTCCTTTTGCACAGCACTACTGTGATTAGGTCTGTTTAGTGCATCCTTTATCCTAGTTACTTATCACGTAACTTCCTGTGTAGCTTTATGTGCTTCAGTTCAGTACAATGCATTGTTATCAAAACGGGAGCAGGCATTTTCTGGGAGGGTTGGATCTTAGGCACATTTTGATTTAGTTTGCATACTGCACTGTTGTATGGAAGTTTTCTCCTTTAGCCTATTGGCCTTTCTTTGCTTTTGTGCTACCGTTAGAGGGGCCTGCATGTGTTGGCCGCTCTCTGCAGTCTAGAAGCAACAGTCGAACAGTTGTTAGACTGAAATCTCATCTAATGTCATGATATCACAGCCAAGTCATTAATCTCCCTTTTTATTTATATTTTTTATGAGTGTGCTTTTACCCTTCGATTTTACAAGGTAAAAGAGGAATTTACTTAAAAATCTTAATGGTACTTGCAGTTTTTAAAGTGAATATTAGCTTTCCTTTCTCTTGGGGGAGAAGATGAGGTAGAGGGTAGCTAGCCTTCAAGGGAGGGGAAAAAAGATGTTTCAAGTGTTAGAACAACATCATCAATCTGTGAGTAGTCTAAAGCTTTGATTTGACATTTTTTTGTTTGTTTGAAGACTTTGGTGAAAAATAGAAACATGGCTCTGTATATAATAAGCAACAAAGGTGGCTGGGCTGGTGAAGAGGTAAAGATTCTCTTTAAATTATTTCCACCCCCCACTCCCCGTGTAGGGATACTTGGTATATCATGGGGCTTTGTTCTTGTTAAATATTTTTAAATATTTTAGAACAGTGCTTCTTAACTCAGGTTGAGGCTAGAACCTACTACAGCTTTAAAAAAAAAAACAGAGAGAGAGAAATGCTCTAGCATTGCTGGCCCCACTGAGGAAGAATCCCCAGGTGGCCCCTAAAGAAGTCTTATTTTTAGAAGCTCTACAAGTGGTCGGATGGGCAGCCGGGTTTGAGAATCACATTTAGAATTGGGTTTCAGGCCTGTTTCATTTGGAGATTGTTATTGGATTTGTGTTCTTAATAAATATGATGAAACAGTTGGGAATGGAATGATTTGGTACTGTGCAGTTTGGTTCTTGGACAACACTGTAACAAAATAACTACCTTGGAAACATGAGTGTCTAAAAGCACTTGAGGTGTATACACTTTTTAAGTGTGTACACTTAAGGTACTCAGTGTTGTTTTATTTTTCCTTTGAGCCCAAGTATGCATCTTATTCTAAAAGGATTCCTAAATTCAAAGCCATTTTCAACAAATGCAGCCCACTTCTCTGCCTTTTATGTAATTCAGATAGTCCTTTTATGATTATGTTGAATATAAAAGGCATATTAATTTTAATTTTGAAATGATTTTCTTAAGTAGGCTTGAGGTAACACAACTGGGATCACAAGAGGTGTTGGATTGAGTGATCTGTAATGTCTCTCTAGCTGTAAGATTTTGAGACCTAAGAAATTCATTGGTGTGGGGCCAGGGTAGTAGTTATAGTCACATTAAAAGATTATATATGTGTGTTTGTGTGTCTGTGTTTCTGTCTAAAAGGGGGCTTTCCATGCCAGCCTGTTACAGGGTGGGAATCTCAATATTGGGAAAATATCATTGTTTTTCATTGTATCCATAAATTTAATGGAATTCTGGTTCAAAAGAAACTCAGTGGGATTTTTTGAGGGGAAACTTGAACATTGATCTGAGAAGACTAAGTGTGTTTTAGTAATAAGAAAATAATTTGGAGAAGTGTTGAGACTTATACCTTATCAAAAAGTGGATGTGCTGTTAAGTGTTAATAATTTGAACAGTGTACCACTGACAGAGGAGGAATTAAGCCAAATAGGTAGTGAAGCAGAAAAAAGTGTAATAAGTTGACAGGCTTGTGGAAATTTAGATAGTAATGGTGGCATTCCTAATCAGCGGATGGAAAAAAGATTACTTAACAAGTGATATTGAGGCAGTCGGGGCGAAAAGTTGATCTCTACATAAACAAATATTCTAAACGAATG